CCCCCCCCCCCCGGCAAAATTAACTCCTATCTATTCTTACTTTAATTCATTAACATGACAGAATGTTCCACTATCTCTGACCCTTCCCCTAGCTAGATTCCTTACACATATGCCAACTAAATAAACTATGTTCTACAGGACCATTTTAGAATAATAATTTTGATCTTATTGTGCCAAGACCACATGACCATTTAATTTTCATTATCTCTTTAAAATTACATTGAAATTTCTATTTTTGTGGCAGATGTAATATAGCATAAAGGAGAGCCTTTTTGTTTTGTTTTGTTTTGTTTTGTTTTTGAGGCAGGGTCTCCCTTTGTAGCCCAGGCTGGCCTGGAATGAGAGCATTATTTTTAACTAGATAAAGTGCATACTGGCAGCATATTTTTTCCTCATACATATACACAACATATAGTCTCTGAGTTTATTTAACCAGTTATAAACTGATTGCTGAAAAGATTTTAAAACAATTAAACATTTAAATAAAACAACTCCTAAAATCAGTTCTAAAAAGTAATCAAAAGCCTAAAATCAAAAGCCTAACAGCATACCAGGGGTGGTGGCGCACCTCTGTAATTCCAGCAGGGAGGCTGAGGCAGGAGGATCACCTTGAGTTTGAGGCCAGCCCGGGTTACATGGTGGGTTCAAGGCCAGCGTGAACTATATAACAAGGCCCTAATCTAAAAATTTTTAAAAAGCCCAGCAGCAGAAAACACAAGAAATTGTCTTGGTAAAAACAACAACAAGAAAAAACCCTTTGTTTTAGTTTAGCTTCTGTAAGTATGAAAAAGAACGTCTTAAGATATTACTTTCCAAAAAAAAGATATTAATTACTTTGAACATAGAAAACTTTTAATCACACCCAATTTACCTGTAACATGCAGGCAGCTAGGGTTTCCTATATGAATGAACCATTATCTCACTATGGGTGGCCATCCTTTCCCCGCTCACCAGACAAGACTAAGCCTGTAGATGGTCAAATTCCATGGATTTCTACTACCCAAAACACATAAAAGATCTCCAGTTCCCTTTGCCTCACTTCTCTGAGTACCGGCACTGCCCCCTGGAGTGTGTGCTGTATCTCCGTATATGTCTAAGACATTCTCATGTCTCCCACTGAGGTGTCCTGACAAATTCTTTTTCAGTAACAGGAGCCAGTGAGTCTGCAAACTTACTTACAAAAGGTGTGTTCGTTCTTTATTTCAGCCTCGGTGTTACCAGATTCTGGTGCTGTGGCAAACTGAACCCTAGAAAGGAAGACACTCAGGGAGGCAGGGGGCTGAGCAGAGCAGACTTCTTAGCAGGACTTTGAGTTCCTTATGCTCCTGTGGTGACAGATTACAGAAGTTGTCACGGCTACTCACATACATTCTACAAAGTTACCTCGTTAGCCCGTAGTTGCTTAATAACAGTTTAAAATTGTAAATTGTTAACTTTTAAATTTTTAAATTGCCCAATTTAGTTATTTTTGTTAGAAAAATATCCGTCTACCTGAAGTTTCCCTTTCCCTGGGGGTGCTAGAGTCATCCTTTAGAGGTGGCTTCTAGGCTTCCTGAGCAAATAATTGAACAAAGCAAGCATAAGCAGTGGGTGGCTTAAATTTCACATTTGTTAAAGGTAGGAAAAAAGGCAGAGGGTTAGGGGTATGAGATAGGCTCTGCAGAGTGAGTTTGGGTCAAATAAAAAGGAAGACAAAAGCCGGTCGTGGTGGCGCACGCCTGTAATCCCAGCCCTCGGGAGGCTGAGGCAGGAGCATTCCTGTGACTTCGAGACCAGCCTGGGCTACATAGTGAGGTCCAGGTCAGTCTCAACTACATAGTGAGACCCTGTCTCAAAAGACCAAACAAAACAAAACAAAAAATCTGCTTGAGTTTTACTGAGAAGTCCACATGCAGGGATCTGAGGGCTGTTCTGAGCATGTGTTCAGGAATCTTGTCCTGCCTCCTTTCCCAGCAAGATCTAGCCATGCTTTAACTTCCTGCCTCATCAGGGACCCTCATACTTAGCCCGGTGGCATTAGTAGTCTAGAAAATAGCCTTAGTTGTTTTATAAGTGAGTCAGGGCTAAACAGCCATATTGATAAAATTCAGAGTAGACAGTGAACCAAAATGTGGACAAAGGATGAACTCAGGCATCTTGCAGTGCAGCCCACTCCCTACTAATATTCCCGAATTTCAAGGAAATTATAATGCACATTAATCTAGTTGTTCTAAAATCGAAGTTTCTTGTAAAACCTATGTGCTGAAGAGCTTGGTTTAAAACATGCCGGGTGTGGTGATGGCGCACGCCTGTAGTCCCAGCACTCTGGAAGCTGAGGCGGGAGGATTGCCTAGAGTTCAAGGCCAGCATGTGGCTGCCCCATTTGGGACACCTCCTGAAAATTCAAGAGCTATTCTCCTTATTTCCAGTAAAAGCTACTAACTCCCTCCTTTGGTTTGCGACTTCATTCCTAGGTTTTGTGGAACCATGAACCTGGTACACACGTTATCAGCGGCTAATGACTCAGATGCATAACACTTAATCCCAATTGCATTTACTAATTCATTTGAACAATTAGCCTAGATTATTATTATCAGTTTTGGTACCGGGGAATCAAACTCAAGACCTTGTGCTTGTGAGGCAGGCTTGGCACCACTGGAGCTAAATCCCCTAGATAAGATTATTTATGAGAACTAAGATATTAGACTAACATGGTTAACATTTTAAACTATATGTAGTTTTTGTTTGTTTGTTTGTTTGTTTTTGAGACAGGGTCTCACTATGTAGTTGAGACTGACCTGGAACTCACTATGTAGCCCAGGCTGTTCTCGAACTCACAGCAACGCCCCTGCCTCAGCCTCCCGAGTGCTGGGATTACAGGCGTGCGCCACCATGCCTGGCAGCTATATGTAGTTTTTAACCAAAGAACCCTAAATGTTTTTGTATTTGAAATATAGAAACAATATGTTACTGAGTTTTGGGCTGCTGAAGTCTCCTTTGTGGGATTTTTTTCTGTCCTGAGCAAGGAATTGCTTAAGACAGGCACAAATGATAGTAAGGTTTTATTAAAGGTAGGAAAAGAAGCAGGCTCTGCAGAATGAGTTTGGGTCAAGTAAATGACCCACCCTACAGCTTGAGGGTGGGTCACCATGGAAAAGAGAATACCCTATAAAAACTTAACGTGGACTGCCTATTTTTTATCACCTTCATACAGGATCCCCAACTGTAGGAGGGCTGCTCAGGTGCTTTTCTAAATCCTTTCACAACCTTCCCTTCTGAATCCCAAGCTCTAAAATGGATGTATTTAACGATCTTTCTTTTGTCTTCTCTCCAATTTTGTTACCCTCTTCCCTTACAGACTTCTGACTCTGGGTTTTCACAAATATCCTCGTTGCAAGTATTCAAGCGTTACCAAGCTCACTTAGAACATTAGAGAATAAAAACTACTAGGCTCAAGGTTTACATAAAACTTGCAAAGGAAATCCTTAAAGTTTGGTGACAAAAAGGTATATGATTTAGGTTAATATGTGTTTCTGTGTGTATCCCTTGGGTTTACATGGTATGAAAATAATTTAGGTTGGTTAGCAAAATAAAAGTAAGAGGTAAGATGTCTTTAAAATACTAGTATATTTTGTTTACATTATTAGTCAGTCAGGATAATGTTTGTCTTTGTGACAAAAAGATACAATGTTCATTTGGGACAAGCAAGGTGGAGCATGGCTAAAACTGGTTGGGAAAGGAGGCCAGACAAGATTCCGGAACACCCGGGCAGAACAGTGCCCTGCAGGTGGGATTCTCGTGAGAACTCATGCAGGATTTTGAAAGGATGCCCTGGACCTGACTAAGCCTGTGAGAAGGTCAGGAAAGCCTGAATATAAGGAATTATAGAATCCTTTTCAGATTATGGTGGAAGAGATGTTAACTACGGGATGGTGGAACACTTTAGGTTGCCCCTAAGGGGCCAGATCTTTTTCTCTTTTTCCTTTCCCTCCTCCTCCTTCTTTTTCTTCATTTGTTTTCTTTTGGTTTGGTTTTTTGTTTGTTTTGAGACAGGGTCCTATTATGTAATCCAAGTTGGCCTTAAACTCACTGTGCACTGCAGGGTGGCCTCAAACTTTCTGCAATCCTCTTGCCTCAGCTTTCCAAATGCTGGGATTATGAGAATGCATCACCATGTCTGGCCCAGGAGTAGTATAGTATAGGAAAATGAGATTTTTTTTTTTTTTAAGAGTCAAATTTGGACCAATGTTTGGAACATGTTTTATTATCATTTGGGGTATTTTTTGTTTGAGACAGGGTCTCACTATGTAGCTCAGGCTTGCCCTGAACTCACTTCATTCCCCACACTGGCCTTGCACTTAAGGCCATCCTCCTGCCTCAGCCTCCCAAGTGCTGGGATTTCAGGTATGCACTACCGTGCCTGGCTTTGGACCAATATTTTAAGAAATAACATTCCATGAGTGAGTCAGACTGGACAGAGAACAAGAGCCCCACCATTGAGTCCTACCAGAGATGCAGCGCCCACCCAGAAGGCATCATTAAGGTTGAAGGATGGGAAAATCCGTGAGGCTAACTAATCTAGGGAACACCCTGAGAAAAGAGAGTCTCTGACTTAGTGGAAACTCCCTTTTCACTTTGTAGCCAGCACCAGTGGTGTTCCGACACCACGCTGTCCAACAGATCTGATCAAATCTGACTGGAGAGATGGGATGGGCAAGGCCAAAGTCCAGGGTTGATCTTGTGCTCTGAATGTCCACAGGGGGAAGAAGAGACTCAAGAGATGTCTCCCAGAATAGGCAGTTCACCTGAGAGAGTGCAAAACTGGGTGTTAGTGAGACCTGGGGAAGAGGCCTCACGATACCATGTGGATTTGCACTGGTGAGCTGCTGCTGACAGCTGCACTGTGCAGGGAGAGTAAGCAGGGGTCCTGAAGGAAAACCAGGCTCTACTTACCCTTGGCGAGTGCACTGGGCCATCCTACTTTATCCCTGCTTTCATGCCCCAGGAAGACTCGCCCCAGCCTGGGTCCATCCATCAGTTACAAACAAGTAGTAAGCTTTTCAACAAGGAGCCTTAAAGAAGCTCCTTGGCCAGTACCTGTTTGGTTTTACAACAGAGACCGCATGTCCCCCCAGGGAGTAACCCGGCCGGGCTTCTTCAGGTGCCCACGGACCAGTATACCAACCATGCGATGCCAGTGGAGGGTTTCCCTGCTCCTCTGTGGTATCGCTCAAGGTTGCCTACATCGATCGGTCTGGTGAGGCAGGCACTACAAAACTTACCAGTTGACAAGGAATGTAAAAAGGGAAGAGTTTATTTTGGCCAAGGTGTGCTGCCAAGGGAAAAGTAGGCAGGTTTCCAAGAGAAGAATCCTGCAGGGCGAGAGGTAGGGGTTTGAGGATATGGTAAAACGGTCTAGGCCTCAGTGTGATTATCTTAAGAATCTCTTTCTCCTGGAGCATTTGCACCTTGCAGATCTTCCTGGAGGACATGTATTGTGTTTATCATTATGTTTCCAGTCTCTTTTTTTTTTTTTTTTTTTTTTTTTTTG